TGATGATGGTGATGGTGGTGGAGGTGATGGTGGAGGTGATGGTGGCGATAGCAGCAATGTCCGCAGGGAGGAGTATGGCCACAGGACCCCAGTTCCCGCGGAGATGAGGCCCCGTTGGGCACTGAGCCCGCTCTCTCCCATAGGTACATCCGCTCGGAGCGGTCTGTCATCCTCATCAACTTTTGCTTGTCCATCATCTCCTCCAACGCCCTCATCCTCATCGGGCAGACCCAAACTCGCAATAAGGTATGTGATCTCTGCCCTCCCCTGCACATCCCAGTGCGCCCAGGTGGGATGGGGCGATGGTGAGGACCCCAAAAGGATTCCAAGGAAGCTTAGGGAGGAGAGTGCTCCAGCCACATGGAGGCCTTCGTTCTCTGACTGCGGCTGTCCCCTGGTCAGGACATGGGGATGGGGTGTCTGGAGTCTCCAGCCGGACTGGCACTTTGAGATGGGCCGGTTCGAGCCCCCTGTCCCTGGCCCACCATGGGGGCCTGGACTGTCATCTTGTCTGTGTGTTGCCATGTGGCCTTGGGGGTGACTCGCCCTCCCCAGGGATCGAGTTCACCACCTCCCGGGGAAGATGGGCTCACACCAGAGCCTTTCAGCGGGCTCCTGCTGGCATGTGCTGTGTCTCCGGGTGGGTGAGGACGATGGGGCCGGGGGAGGTCTCTCTTGCTGGCCACCTGTGGGCCAGGTGGCACACACCCCCAGGGGGCAAGGACCCCAGATGTTCAACAGGCCACCTCGAGGCAGTGGACCAGGTGACCCTTCGGTGGCTTCCTGCTGGGGGGTCTGAGCTCGTGACCACTGCGGACACTGGGCTTGGGCCTCTCCCAGCCTCACCGAGCCCCTCCTGTGGAGCAGGCCTAGGGACGGGTGACCAGGCACCTGCCCCGCCTAACCCGCCCGCCTGCCCCGCGCAGGTGGTGTGCACGCTCGTGGCTGCCTTCCTGCACTTCTCCTTCCTGTCGTCCTTCTGCTGGGTGCTCACCGAGGCCTGGCAGTCCTACATGGCCGTGACAGGCCGCCTCAGGAGCCGCCTCATCCGCAAACGCTTCCTCTGCCTGGGCTGGGGTGAGCGGTGCCGGGCAGGGGTTGGTGGGCCCCCGCTTCTGACCTCTGTCCCCGCCCCTTGCGGCCCCGTCCCCCACCCCCGGCCCTGGCCCCTGCTCGCTGTCCCCGCCCCTTGTGGCCCTGTCCCCCACCCCCGGCCCTGGCCCCTGCTCGCTGTCCCCGCCCCTTGTGGCCCTGTCAGCCCCTCCCAGGCCCCTGCCGCTGACCCTACCCCTTGTGGCCCCGTCCCCCCGCCCCCTGCCTTGCCCTCATCCTCCTGGGGCCTCCATGGGGTTGTCAGGTAAAATGTGATGCTAAGTTCTATTTGAATTTCAGATAATGGGGTTTTTTCTAAGGGTATCCCGTTTGGACACACAATAAAAAGGGTTTCTTTTTTATCTGAAATTCAAGTGTGATCCGGCGTCCTGCGTTTCGTTTGCTGACCTGGCCGCCATGCCTGCAGTCCCGTAGGCCCTCACCCTCATCCACCTCCTGTTCCCTCTCTCTCATGCTCAGCGTGACCCTATTCAGGGGCTTCAGAGGCACAGTGTGCCCCGATCGCCCCATCCGCAGGGCTGGAAGGAGGCAGGGGGCGGACAGGGGCTTGGATGGTGGGGGAACCAACTCCCTTTCTTTCTGGTCCTTCTGCAGGGCTTCCTGCGCTGGTCGTGGCCATTTCTGTGGGATTCACCAAGGCCAAAGGGTACAGCACCATGAACTAGTGAGTCGGGGCAGGGTGGGGATGGGGTGGAGGCCGCCCGGCTCCCCCAGACCCTCCCACTGCCCTAGAAGGTGACAGCTGGCTGGTGCCCGTCTCACAGAGGAAAGCCAAGGCTGGGAGAGGCTGGGGGCCCCGGGACTGGAGGCTGGGGGCTCAGGGCCATCAGAGCTTCCCACCTCCTCCTTAGGTATCCTTGGACGGGTCTGTTAGCCTCAGTTTCCCCTCTGCACCAGTGTGTCCACCCCTGCACAACTATGGTGACGAGGGGGCTGTGTGGCCCCGAGGAGGGCAAGGCAGGTGGTAAGGGGCCTATTTCACAGATGAAGTCAGTGAGGCCCTGAAGGGTCAGCTGGGCCAGGCAGGTCCGGGGGCCTTGAATGCCAAGCCAGGAAGCTCGGGGTTACCCTAAAAGCAGTGTGGCTCCCCAGGGTAGGGGGAGAGGAACCACGGGCTGGAGGGGGACTGTGGCTACAGGCAGGGAGAGGAATGGGGGAGCCAGAGGCAAGAGGAGGGGTGGGTGCAGGTTGCGCAGGCTTGGCTCACCTTGGAGCCCCAGGGGGACAGGCCATGGCTGGGCCCTGGAGCAATGCCCCACTTGGGCAGCAGGGGCAGCGGACATGAATGAGGATCCAGTTACTGGAACCCCCGTAGGGTGAGTGCCAGGAGGTAACTATGGACACGGCCGCAGAGCTGAGAGGGTCAGGGGTGGGTCAGGGGAACACCAGGGCTTTTGAAGGCTGAAGAGGAGTTCGTCTGACAGCGTTGTCGGGGGATGCTCAGGGCAGAGGAAACGGCACGTGAAGACTGCGGTGTCTTCTCTGGGCCCAGGGCTCCTGCGGGCCACCATCCGTGGGGTCCAGGAGATTTGGGGAAGTGTGGGGCCGGTGACCACGTGTGGCGTGAGGAGGGGCCCGGCCAGACGTGTGAGCAGAGGCCTGGGTGACCCGGCCGCGGGGCCTGGGTTGAGTGGGCAGGTGGAGGGCCAGACCGGGGACCCAACCCAGAGCTCTGGCGTCGTGTCCTGAGGAAGGGTTTGTGCATGAGATTGGGGAGGGTGTAGGAGAGTTGGGGGTCCAGCCTGGGGTGGTCAGGACACCGTCCTTTGTGCTGTGTGGGTGCGAGCAGCCTGCCCCGTGCCTGTTTCTCCCTCCATAAACTGGGGTTCGTGGGGCCACGGGGGCCAGAGTGAGGTGCAGTGTGCTGGTGCGCAGGAGGGCCTGCCGGGTGCTGAGCTCCGTCTGCCGCTCCCCAGCGTCTCATCTGCCCTCCCGGGGGGGTGGGGACATCACGCCTGGCCACTGACCAGCCTGTCTCCCTCCCCAGCTGCTGGCTCTCCCTGGAGGGGGGACTGTTGTACGCCTTCGTGGGACCGGCCGCCGCTGTCGTGCTGGTACTGACCCCCTCCCCTTCGGCCCGGGCTGGGGCCTTGGGCTGGACCCATTGCCCCTTCAGGGTCACCGTGCTCACCGAGGGGTGGATGGCATTCCTGGCCCCCCCGACTTGCCCTCAGGGCACAAGGGTGCGGAGATGGGCTGGAGCGGGGGCCTTCTCTTTCCGTGAGCACCGCTCGCGTGGGGACCAGGCCCTGGCCGTGCACCTGCCAGGAGATCCTGTGGGTTCGGGGGCGAGTGGCCAGATGGCTGACCAGGGCAGCAGGGAGCGCCAGCTCGGCCTGGGGGATGGGCAGAGCCTGAGGCTGGGGGGCCGGGGCCGGACCTTGCTGCCGCCGGCTGTCACGCTCCGGAGAAGGAAGCAGCTACCTGCTCTCCCTCGCCATGAATTCCCAGACGCCTTCGGGGAGGGATGTGAAACAGGGCCTTGGGGCACACGGGGTTACTGCCCCCGAGTTCGGGCTGGGCAGGGGGAGCCGGGCATGGCTGGGGGTCTGCGCCCACCCTGCCTGAGCCCATTGCTCTCCAGCCCTCTGCCCCTCACGCAGGGCCACACACCGCTCCGTGGCTCTGTGCGGGGGCACCCGGGCGCAGGCACGGGGAGGCTGGAGGGCCCCGCGTGGGAGGGTAGAGCGGTGGGCAGCTGGCCTAGCCCGAGGGTCCTGGCTCCTTTATTCCTCGAAGGGAGAGGCCTTCGTGCCATGCATGTCAATGCGGCCCTTCAGAGACCAGGCCAGCTCGCCATTTTAAAGACAGGCAACTCGGGAGCGCGGGAGGCTCAGATGATGGAGGCAGGAGCCGCCAGCCCCACGTCCCCTCCCAGGGTGTCTGCAGGGCAGGGCCAGTGCCGATCTGCCGTGGCCCCCAGCCCAGGGCCCCCTCAGTAACATGGGGACACGCCGCTCAAGCCGCGCAGAGCCTGCTTCGGGCAGGGTGATGCTGGCTGGTGGCCTGTCCCCCTCTGGCCCTGGCCTTGTCAGAACATGAGGTCACCCAGGAAAGATGCCTCCACCCCAGTCAGGCCCTCCGGCGCTGGTGCCCACATCTGGGAAGTGTCCGTTCGCACAGGGATGAAAGGCAGGGCCTGACCACGGCGGTGTGCGGAGTCAGGGGCGCTCAGGGCTGTGCGGCCGCGGAGAGTCGGCCTCCTTGTACCTCTGCATCCGAGGGGCCTGGGGCCAGCCTTCGTTCCTCAGTCAGGCAGCCTCTGCAGAGAGGGGACGGCTTTCGGGGGGCAAAGGAATGAGCTGGAAGCTTCCCCACCAGGAGAAAAGGCCAAAGAGGGGAAACCCCAAGGTCTCCAGGGCCGAGGCAGGGCCGACGGGGGCCCCTTGGGGACAGCTGCTGTTTGCCGTAGGCGGTAGCTTGCGGGACGCGAACACCAAGGAGCACTTGCTAGGGTGCTGGCGCCCAGCGGGAAGGGGTCAGGAAAGGTGCCTTGGCAGAGAGCGCAGGAGCAGTGCGCCCCCAGGTAGAGCCCGGACGGGGACAGTGCCCCCGAGACGGCCCTCGAGGTGGGCCCCAGTGAGGGGTGAGCTCCCTGTCGTGGGAGGGATGTAAGGAGCAGGGGTGCTGAGAGGCTGGGGGCCGGCCACAGGGCACGCCTAAGCGTGGAGGCAGCTGGGTCAGCTGAGGTCCCTTCTGTGGTCGGAGCAGGCAGGCACCCTGGGAGTGCGCTGGAGCCAGCCTGACCTCTGACCCCTGGACAGCAGGAACCCCAGCTCCACAAAGTGCTGCTGACCACCGTGGGGATGGCAGATAGGCCTCTGGGCCGTTCAGGACAGACCACCCCGGGGATCCAGCCTGTCGGAGGGCCCCCCACATTACCCCTGCACCCCCGCTGGGTCATGCTGGCCCCTTCTCAAGTCCACCCCCGCCGGGCAGGCTTCCAGATCCTCGTGGAGCGGGTCACGCAGGAGGGTCACATGGGGGGCGTGAGCTGGAGCTCCTCGCCCTGAGTGGGGTCTTGTGGCAGAAGGACCCCACCCAACAGCCAGGGCTCTGGGGAGAGTCGGCCAGGCCCAGGAGAAGGTGCTGGGGGCCTGGCGAGCCTGTGCCGTGGCCCCCCTCCTGGCCTGGGGAGTGTGTGCCCAGAGCAGTGCTGCGGGCAGGAGCACACGCCGAGCCCTGGTGTGGAGCCCGGAGCCCGGAGGGCAGTACCCCACCCCCACACCCGGCTCCTCTCTGCCTGGCAGGTGAACATGGTCATCGGGATCCTGGTGTTCAACAAGCTTGTGTCCAAGGATGGCATCACGGACAAGAAGCTGAAGGAGCGGGCAGGGTAGGGCGGGGCCCGCCAGGGCTCCTCACCTGCCTTGAGTCGAAAAGACCCAGAGCCCACTCACTCCCCGCCAGGCCCCAGAGCAGGCGGGGAAACCGGAGCACAGAGGTCTGTGTAGGCTCACAACCAGCCCCGGCCTTGCCCTGTGCCTCAGTTTCTCCGTCTGGCCTGTGGCAGGTCCTCAGAAACCGTGAAGCCAGTTGTTTTCAGAGACCCTGCCCCTGCAGGGACCACTGGGGTGGTGGGCGGGAGCCCCCGGCCTCCCCCTTCCCTACCATGGGGCCGGGTGACCCCAAGCGAGGATGTAACTTGCCCATCCTTATGGTGCCTTCAGCGACAGGAGAGGACAGGGGACAAATAGGGTGTTCCTCCCGCGTGGGGAGCTGAGCCCAGAGAGGGCAGTGCGTGGCCAGAGGGCACGTGGTCCCGAGCGACTGGGCAGTGCCCAGCAGTGCTTGGGACAGGCCTGCTCCTGCAGCCCCCCAGAGCATGGGAGCACTGAGGTCACCGAGGGGCCAAGTCCGGGCTGAGACGGACCCCTCTCTCCGTCCTGCCCCAGCCCTCTGAGCCCTCCTCACCTCACCTCTGCCTGCTGCTCCGTTCGTCCCTCTGCCCTGGCTGGTGTGTGTGGGGGGGTCCCACCCTGCTCCCTCTGTGCCCTCTTCGGTGTCTGTCTCTGTCTCTGTCTCCGTCCTCTTCCTGCGCCTCCTGCTTACCCTATAGCTTCAGGACACCATCCCCTGGGGTCCCTGATGGCTTCTGGTCTTGGTCAGAAGCCTGCTGCACAGCTTTGGAGGAGGTGTGTGATCCGGAAGCTGGCCTCGCCGTCTGTAGGCCAGGGTGCTCCACTTGCTGGGCGCCGTCCCCTGGCATTGGGGACTGACGCGCCCACATGCGTTCCTGGAAGGCCCCGGGCGGCGCGCCAGGCCCCGTTTGGTTTGCTTCCTACAATAACCCCCGAGGCCGGCTCTCCTGTTCCGTTCCCGTTTGTACAGCCGAGAGAACTGAGGTTCAGGCAGGGTGAGCGGCTGGTTGCGGGGAAGGCGCTGGAGTCCGGCGTGTCCACGTGGCTGGCCGCCGCCTCGGGCCCCGTCCTGGGCGTGCAGCGGGTGCCCCGGCTCAGAACGCTCCTGGCGGCGCCCGCGGGGCCATGCACAGAGCCCCGCTCCCACACGGACAGGAGGCACCCTGCACACCGCTGTGTGCTTGCTCGCGTGAACACACACACACACGGGGCCCGTGGGAGGACGCTGCCCAGCTAGCTCCCCGAACCCCAGCGCACTGGCAGACAGAGCCCTTGCCCCCTGGCTGGGGCGGCGCGTGGTCAGGGCGGATTCGGGGGGACCAGAGGGAGGTGGCCGTGGCCTCCCCCTGGGAGTTCTGCTTCTCTGTGCAAACGTGGCAGATCGGCTTCCCCTCTGCTCCGCACGGGCACGCATGGGTGCTGGACCCGGACCGCCCCCGCCTCCCCATGGCTCCCCTGCTTCCCCCGGGAGCCCCCCGCCCCCCGCCCCCCAGGACCGGCCTAGGGAGGCGCAGGCCGGATCGCTGCGGTCGGTACGCTCTCTGCCCCCGTCTGCGAGAACAGGGTCTGCTCTTGTCTCAGGCTTTGAATCTCACTTCCAGTCAGCTGCCCCGGGCCCCCTCGGGCGCGCCCTCAAACGTGCCAAGTGTGGGGCTCTCTCTGCGGCCGCCGCCGCCGGTAATGCCATGTTCGTGCGTCTTCGCGCTGACGCACCCGCCGGGCTCCGCTCTCCTCTCAGCTACACTCTGTTTTAAGCTTTTCCTGTGCTCTCTGTTGCCTCTGCCGGCCACTCTGGGGGTCCTCCCCTAGCCGGCCCTTCGCCAGGCTCCTCTCCCCCATCTCCTGGGGCCTTGGGACAAGGCCGACCGGAGGGTCAGTGCTGCCGGGATGGGATGGGGCCGGGTCAGCGTGAGAACGTGCTCGGCTGGCTGGTCATTGGCGTGTGGTCGTGCTGGGGGCTGGGGTGCACTCTGCGTGTGCAGCGTGAATGTGTGAGAATGTGTGGGTGTGCGTGAGTGTGTGAGCATGTGGGGTGCGTGTGTGCATGTGTGAGCGTGTGTGAGTGTGTAGGCCCTGCTGCACCGTGGCGGCCGCGGGTTTGGGGCAGGACGGGTCCGTTGAGGCAGAAAGCTGTGTTGGGAGGGCCAGCGGGGACAAGGCTCTGGGCGCACGCGCTGTTTGCTTCACGCGCCAGGCTCTGCCCTGGGATAGGCCTGTCACGAGAGCCTTGGGGGCCATTCCCTGAGAGGCCAAGTGGCAGGTTGGAGGCAGCGGCCCTGCCCCCCATCTCCGCTCCTGCCCCTCCCCCGGAAGGCATCGGACTTTCCAAAGGGCGGGGGGGGGGTCCCCAGTGTCCCCGGGCCTGCACCCGCTCCTCCCCCCGCCCTCCGCCCTCGCAGAACCCTGCAGAGGCTGGGCTGCAGGAATTCGAGTAGTTTATGCGTCCCCAGGCCCCAGCCACCTGCTACCTGCTTCAGGCCTAGATGTCAGGCCCCAGGCCCCAGGGAGGGTGACTCACAGCAGGATGAGACTTCCCTGGGAGAGGCTCTGCCCTGCCCTCCTGTTCCCAGCGTGGCCGGAGGTCTGCTTCAGAAGGGAGGAGGGAGACTAGGCAGGCCCCCCACCCCCGCCATGGGGAGACGCAGAGGTTTGGGGTCGGGGAGGGCAGTGCGCGTAGACATGGAGGGCCCGCTTCTTCAGGCTCTCCAGCAGGTGCGGAGAGAGGCGGGGCTGGGTGCCGGGATCCCGGCTGGGGGCCTCCACCCTGGAAGGGGAGGTGGGGCGGGTCTTGAAGTCTAGTTTGGAAGCTCGTGCAGTGGCCAGGAGAGGAGAGGTGTGGGGGCTTCAAGGCAACTCCTGGCTCTGGCTCGAGCCACTGGGCGGCTGGGCAGGGAGCCGTCCTGGAGAAGAAATGGGTCTGGGGCCAGGATGGGGACCTGGGTCCTGGAGCAGGGAGGGGGCAGGGAGGGGCAGGGAGAGGGGGGAGGCGGGCCTGTCTTCTGTGCTGGAGCCCAGGCAGGACAGAGAGGACACAGGAGCCGAGAGCACAGTTCTGGGGAGAGCTCCTGCCACCACCCCCTGACCAAGGTCCTGCTCCCTTGGGGGTGCTTCTCCAGGCCGGCCTTGAGGTCCTTCCAGCCTCTCTCCCACCGGCCCCGTGCCCCCAGCTCCTTCCTGGTGTTCCTTGTGCCCCTCCCCCCTGCCCACTCCCCACTAACTCTGCCCCACCTCCTCATCCTTTTGACAAGGGCGTCCTGTAAGGCGGGGAGCAGGTGGTCCTGACCTCGGCCCCCACCCCGGGCATGACAGTGGCCCCAGCGGCTCCTTGGAGCCCCTGCACGGCAGTCACCTGCCCATGGGGGCTTCCGGAGGTCGTCATGGTGGTGAGGGTGGGGTCTGGCCCATTCCCCAGACACCTGCTGCACGCCAGCCGTCCGCAGGCGCCGTCTGCCCTCACCACAGCGCCTCAAGGACGTGGCACGGTGACGGCGCCGTCGGGAAGAGGCAGGCGCAGAGCAGCCGCGATGCAGCCCGCGGTGGCACAGGGAGGTGCCTGGCGGCAGAGGGCAGTGCCTGCCGTGGGCGCCCCTGGAGGCAGCCCCTCCCCTGGGGGCCAGCAGAGCAGGGCCTGCCAAGAGGATGAAGTGCCTGTGGGTCTCTGTCCTCGTCTCTGCCTCCCCACCCTTCTCTGTCTGGCCCTGTCTGTCTGTCTGTCTGTCATCTCTCTCTCCTCCTGGAGCAGCTCTCTGGTCCTCTCTCTTTGTCTCCAGAGCTCAGAGGCTGGCCAAACAACCCCCTCCATGGCCGCCTTATGTTGGGGCCCTGGACCCCTGGCGGGGGGGGCGGGGGCGCCTGAGGGCCCTGGGAGCTGGAACCAGCAGGGGCCGTGGCCCCCCAGCTCCTGCCTCCAGTGTGCCTCCCCTCCTGGGGCCTCCTGGACAGTTAGGAACCTGGGTCTCCCAGAGAGGTCCCTCCCTCCCTGCTGCCCAGCCGCCGGGGATCACCCTCGGAGTCTCCGGTCTCCGCTGTGCCAGCCCTCAGGCCGCTGGGCAGGTCTGGGGGGCGCAGAACGCTGCTCCCCAGGAGGGGCTGCGAGGCTGGTGGGCCGGGTTCCTCTAAGGACTGGAGGGGAGAGGAGGGAGAGGAGGTGAAGCCCAGCGGGGGGGGCGGGG